ATGTTGTAGGAGCCAACATTGGCCTCTCAGATTGGCAATCTTCAGTTCTAATCTCTGTCTGATAATCTGGAAAACGAGATGAATTATTCTGTTTGCGCTTCTGGCCTTTTAATGGTCTAATTTAAAACACTGTGAAGTGAATGAATTTTAAGTGCTTTGGATCAGAACACGAGGTCTGATGTTCTCTAAAGCCATGTCTGGAGCTAAAGACTTGTAGCTGAAAAAGGCTGGAAGGACAAATAGGGCATTTTGCAAAATGTCGGAAAATAATCCTTTTTCTTTTTTTTTTTTCCTTAAGAATAAGAAAACTTGAGGCAGCAAAATGGTCGAACTTTAAGACAAGCAAGGTTGGATGTATTTTACCAAAGTGTATCAGAACACAAATGCAAGTTCTACATCTGGTAGAGCATATCCTTCAAGTGCGAAGGGCAGTTAACTCCTGTAAAACGCAGCCCTGAAGAGCATGGCTGGTACCGAGGCAGTGAGCATGGGGGACTTCTGCTCACCAAGAGGTGGGCTTAGGTTTAAACCCATGAGTTGCCTTCTTCCCAGCTTTGGATCCCAGCATTAGTCCTGTTAAGCAGACAGCCAAAACTGCATGCTCGCCCAGGTGGATTTTAAAAATCTGAGATTTATGCATTTTGTTGACTCTACAAAAGGTGGTTTCAAAACATGGTAAACTCTCTTCAAATGAGATTTTCAAACCTTTCGACAGTTCCTGGTTGGCCACACGTTTCCCTGCTTATGGAAACACTTATTTCAGCAGTGATTACCTTGGTAGAAATATTTAATTCCTGAGTCTTCTGTCCTGTTACAGGTTTGACTGAAAACCCTGCGGGACAAAAGCATCTCAATTCAACTACTGCAGCAGAATCAGGGGCACAACTGCATCGAGCAGGCAAAGCCCATCTTCATGCTCGTTACCCAGAGTCTGCTTTAGCGCTGCGTGGGGAAGCCAGAGATTATATTTGTGTGTCTGCTGAAATCTTCAGCTTGCTGCTTTTAATGCTGCCATTTATGTTTCCTGAAATTTGAAACGATGTGTCCTGCAAAAAGCATCCGAGCTTCATTACTTTGATGGTGCTCGTTTCTCTGCTGGCTGTGGCCGGGCACCGCGCTGTAGCTAAACTGAAGACCTTCAGCTGAGACAGGGCAGAAGGGATTTGCTAATCAGCCAGCACAGAACAGAGGGATCGGCTGGAAATGGAGTAAGTGCTTGTAGAAGAAGGGAGGGGAAAAAAGCTCTCTCCCTATTTCTGGCTCTTCGAGGAGTTCCCAGGATGAAACCCCTCATTCAGCATCTTTCCCCTAAATATAAGAGGAAATACTGTGTTTTAAGAACACTGTTCTCCTTCCAGCACAGAACTCCTATGTGGAAGGGCTGCTGGGGTGGATGCCGCCTCTCGGCTGCCCCTTGCAGAAGCACCCACTGTGGGCAAAGGCCACAAGCCCCCGAGCAGCTCAGCTGAGCCCTGTTTCTCCCTCTTAAATTTTTTTTTTTTCTGGTGGAAGCCAGAACAAGTGACCTGTTGAGATGTTGGAGTGGCTTTTGTTTGCTTCATGCCTTTTTTTTTCTAAATATATTGAGAGATTTTGTTTGGTTTTCAATTTAGTAGTATGTTTTTACAACAATGTAAGTGGCATCAGTGTCATGTTAGTAGAGTCTCATTCTAAGCTCCAGCCTTAACTCTCATCATATTTATGTGAGAAGAAACTCTGTGGCTCAAGGTTGGCAGGTCACCAGCTGTGAACACGCTCCTTTATGCCAACAGCTGTTGCAGAAGAAAAGGTTTTCATTAAGGAAATCAAAGACCTGTTCCTGCTTCCAGCAAAGGTGCAGGCCCAATGTATCAGCCCTGTTTGGGGCAGAACAGCCTCTTTCTCTTCCAGATTTCCTCCTGCGTGTACCATGAACTGTTTCCCCTGTGAGATTTAGACATCTTTCATGTTTCAGCTGGTTAGTGGTATGGGCTCTTTGCTCCAGAAAATTGTTCTTTGTGCTTTTGAGGCTGCGTTGGTGGGGACAAGAGCCAGGCATCTGAAAACGAGTTGAAATTTCTCTTTTCTCTTATCTTAATAAATGGTGGCACCCAAGAACGTGCTTGAGACTATATAGGATGCTACAGCTCAGCACAAGCAAAGTTGACGGCATCTGGCTGTTGGTGTCCAAGTGTGGTGGAAAGAAATGCAGTAGCTCGGGCCCAACAGCCAACCCCCACATGCCTCGTCGGTGCTTGCAGCCCTGTGGCAGCTCGGGGCGAGGTGCCGCTTTTTTCCTGCCACAGCTACGTCGGTCCGACTCCCTGGCTTCCCGCGCCTCCTGCCAAGAGAAACACCCCCGTACGCCGCGTGGCGTTTCCCTTCTGCTGCAAATAGTTCCCAGGGATGTGAGCGCCGTGTGGGTACGGGCAGCCCTTATCTGCGCCCGATAAGGCACACGCTGCCTCTGTGCAACGCTGATAAATGCGTCTAGAGGAGGAGGTGTTTTGGTGGGGATGTGCATGGGGTGGCCAAGGCAGGTGGTTGCTGCGGGTCATCTTTTTTCGTTTGCTGTGGTTCATTCTCCTCCCAAGAACCCCTTTTCCTTTGCTCATGCCTTCCCCTAGTGGGAAGGGACGGGCTGGGGGGCTCCAGCAAGGTGGTGACCAGAGAAGGTCGGTCTGGCTGGGCGCTGGCCAAGGGAGCTCCCTGCACATCGTGCTGCGTTGGTACCGCAGCCACACATAAAACCACCCCAAAACCCACCTGCTCCCTGGGACTGGGGTTTCAAACAGCTCCTTTCTAGCTCTGCCTTGTGTTTATTTGGTGTGGGACGGCTGCAGGAACAGTGTTTGCCAGGAGCGGGGAGGCCTGGGCTCCAGGAACTCCAAATGCTGCGTGTCAGGAGGTTGGTTACGCTTCGTAATTGATGATCCTAGAAGGCAAGCGTGAGAAAACAGATTGCAAGTTTCTGTTTCGTAGGTTAAAAGAGTTCTCCTTGGTGAAACTTCACAGGCCAGCTCTTGGGAAGGGTTTGCAAACCCTCTTAATTTAAGAGAGGCCATAAAAAGCAAGAAGAAAAGCCAGCAGAGAAAAACAAATTAGGTCCCAAAGCGGGGGCGGGGGGAGGATTTTTTCTGATCTTGAATTTGAGAACTGGGAAGAACTCCATCTGGTTCTAGGTTTCTGAGAACGAACGCACAAGTGTTTTGCGAAGCCTTGCAGAGGTCTCTCAGACTTTGAGATGAGAAAAGAAGAGTTTGAGCTCCATCCTGGGAGCAGCTTTTTGTGCCGCAGGGAAGTCACGTAGCAGAGAAACTGAGAGCAACAAGAAAGGCAAAGCCTGGTGTGCTCTCAGAGGGGTAAATGCTCTCTGTGTGTTTCCCACAAAGCCATTAGCTGACCCCAACATGAAGCACAGCTCTCCAAAGCCTGCAAGGAACTTGGTGGAAAAGGCTGAGGGACATCCACTGCTTCATCTCCATGGTCTTGGTCTGGTAGGTGTTAGGGTAGCAGGACCGCTCCGGCATCCATTGGGAGGATCCCGTTGATCCTTATGGATGCTGCTGGGTCACCTGTGGCTTTATCTCATGGCCGAGCAGACGTAAGGGTGAGCTGCCACCACCAGGAGCATCCTTCTCTCGCAGGGACAGGGAGCTGGTGGCAAACAGGGATGCGGAGTGGCTCAGCAGCACAGGGAGGGCTCTGAAACGCCCCGCTGCCATCACCAGGCTTTCGTGGCTTTTGGAGAGCGCCCAAGCAGTGAGTTTCAGCTTTACAGCAACATTTGCTCTCGATGTACAAATTGCTGAGCTTAAGGGGGACGAACAGGCAACGCTTTACAAGCTCCCTCAGATTAAACAAGTCCGTGGAGATGATGGTCTCTAGGCCAGTTTTCAGTCCAGAAATAACCACCAGCCTCGTGCTCCCCGGCGAAGGGTCTGGGTGTCCCTGGCACGGAGGAGAGCAGAGGAACCTGCCCTGTCCTCTGCAGCGGAGGCTCCAGCTGCCGCTTCCCTCAGACCGAGTGTGCGTGTGAGCCCCGACGCGGCGATAATTAATGATAACAGCTTTCTAAAAGCATAACTCTGTAGCTGGTAATGGCCTGCCGGCCAGCATGGGCCATTGCTTTTTACCCTGAAATGTTTATGATCCTTCTTTTCCTCTCTGTGTCACGGTTGAAAGTGTTTTCTTTATTTCCCTTGAAACAGTAATGTTAAACGTGGGAACTGGAAACCCGTAGCCTGGTTGTATTTTTTTAATTTTTAAACAATATAAATTGGGGAACAGTTAAAATTATATTATTCCTGGCAGCGAAATTCCTTTCTTAATAGATAATTTGAAGTTATTGTGCTGGAAGCAGTTTTCCCCACGTGTGTGTGCGTGCACGGTGTAGCATGAGCGGTGCCGAGAGGGCTCGGGCGGCTGCTGAGGCTTTTCAGGCGGTGGAAGCGCCGGGAGCTTGCCAGAGTCTGCAGTTTTTCAGCTGATGGCAGAAAAAAAACCCTCAAAGGCGCCATTTTGCGGTTCTTAATTAAGCCCGTTTTTTATCAATGGGACTTTTGCCTTGGGAAGAACTCAAGGATTGGACATCCAAGATCTTTTTCGAGCAGGATCTGGTTTTTATTTCGCTTAGCTGTTCGTATTTTACAAGGCTTGGGAGTGCCAGTGTTTTCTACCATGCACCAGTGATAGACATTTGTTTCCAATTAGTATTTATTGGATTATTTTAGTCAAAAGTAAGCTTTGTATTAAAGCCCCGCAATGTGTGTTGTGTTATTTGTTCACAGGACGGTGTTTTCTGTTTCTGCTTGGTTTTGCATCACCTTCAGTCTACCGAAAAGCTGGTGTGAGGCGGCCTCGCTGGGGATCTGCCCTGAAAAAAACAGATTAAACAGATTACAGCCTCTTATACAAGCATCTCTTTCGTCCTGGGTACGGGCATGTTTCTGACTCGCACGGCTGGAAACAGCAGCAGCCAGCGCATGTCCTGTCCGGCTTTCTGCTGCTTTTCCCCACAGCTGGAATTAGCCCCTCTCTGGGGAAGGGGCTGCTGGTCGCTCCCCAGGCTGAGCGTGAGCGGGTAAAGCCTGGCCCGGGTGGCTTGTGGCAAGATTGGCAGTAGGTGCCTTTGGGTTTCTGGGCGGGCTGACTTGACAAAGCTTTGGAGAAACACATCGCTAGTGTTTTGCGTAGGTAAATGTCACGGGAAAACTTGTGTTTTAATGGCATCTGAGTTCCTGGCTTGAGGTCGTATGACCAAAAGATTTCTGTAGTTTGCCTGGGGAATGAACAAGCAAATGAAAATATGAATACCAAGCATTTGACCAATGCGTTTCTCACGCTGTAGATGACTGATATTTTGGAAGAAAACCTCCCAAAACGAACGCCGATCTCTGAGGACAAGGGTGGTTGCAAGGGACAATGGCAGGGTTGGCCCCTTGGCTTCAGGTCTTGCCCAGCCTGTACAGGTAGCTGCAGAGCTTGGGTTGTATCGTGTTCCGCTAAGGTGAACGGGGAGCGATTGCCCCGAAATCAGGAGAGCGGTAAGTGCTGTTGGAGTGATGTCAGGCGAAACGAGAAGCAGGCTCTCGGCCTTTCTTTTGCGGAAATAACAAATATGCTTTTGCAGGAGAATAAATGCAGAACACTTGGCAGCAGCTCACCGTGGAGAAGCAGGCAAGTTCATTTGGTCGGAGACCAAGGAAAGCTGCACAGATTCAGCAAGATTTGACTGCGGGTCGGGTCTGAGTTTTCCTGCATATCTCAGTTTTCCACAGCGCATATAAAACATTATTACTGCAAACTGCACATTCCAACGCAGCCTCTCCGTGTATATCATACTAAGAACTGTAAATCTCAGGGGGTTTTCTGCTTTTTTTCTTCTCTTCCAGGACAACGGACCTGCCCAGAGCCGGAGGCAGATGCCCCACGGGGCTGGTGGCAGCCCTGTGGACAACAAGCAGACGCTGAACGTGCAGCACCACCACCCGACCCGGCTCTACGCTAACAGCAGCTCCGAGTCAGCTCTGCCGGGCCAGCTGAGCGGGCTCCACATCGCTCCTGCCCAGAGGTAGGACAAGAGCACGGCTCACGCTCTGAGTCCCGCTGCTGCTCCTGCAAGCTCGGTTTCAGGGATGTGCGTTGAGGTCATGGGGCTCCCGGAGCTTCGGAGATGCTGGGCTCAGCTCCGGCTCTGTCAGTCGAGTGTAGATGTCAGGGAAAAATATAAAACCAAGATGCCAAGTCCTGAACAAAATGGCCACGTGTGTGTCTGTGGCAGCTGCAATGCTGAATTTAAGCTTGTGATGCTGAAGCAATGTTCAACCCTTTCTCTCGGAGACAGGTGAAGGTGCTGGATTTCCAGATCTACCCAAGATCCTTGCATTGTCAGTGGGGGTAGGTAGATTAATAGATCCAGTCCCCAGGCTGGGATAAATGCCGGGGAGTGTCACAGACGTTAGAATCCTGGTTTTTCCAAGTATATATTCAAGGCAGGGTGGAAGGGGTTTCCCCTCCTAGGGGTGGGGATCACACTCCCACAGACCTGGGAGTAAACACTTGGCCTGGGAGCTGGAGGTACCCGCAGAGAAAATTAACCCCAGTCCACGTGGTATGTTTATAAATGTAAGATCTGCTCAGCGCAGCTGTCTGGGAGGCTGGGAAATAAATAATGCTCGTAGGAAAGAAAAAGCTTTTGTGTAGCCAAGAACGGTTTGGGTGGATAACTCTGATTTTGAGACAGGCCGGGTTATGGACTGCGATGCTTTCACATGGTTTACACTGCTGATGATTTATGCTGCTCCAGACTGGCAAAATATTCTGCAAGAAAGTAATGTCTGTATCGAATACAAAGAGCAAAGAGGGTTTCCTTTCAGCTCGGGAACTTGGTGCCTGCATGAATTCATAGTTCAGTATTTTAGCGGCGCTGCGAGCCAGCTCACTCCTTGTGCTGCTCCAGGAAAGTTAATGAAGTTGGAAAGAAGAGAACCACAAAAAATACAGAGAACAATCTGATGTTATCTGCGTGTGAGCCAAAAGCCGGGAGATTAGCTTGGGTGTTTGAGTCAGAAGTGCACTCTCTTTGAATTTGTGCTTGATCAGGCTGGACTGGTCAAAACCTGCCCTTTTTCATTGAAGCGTGAATTGGTGTAGGAAAGGGCTGTGGCAGGGCGGACAGGCACTTGGGGCACACGGGGAGGGTTTGGGCTGGCCAGGGGTCACAGGGATGGGTCCTCTCCTATGGCAGTGGCACTTCTGCCCCTTGTCTCGAGAGGCTGGAGCTGTGGGAGAAGCCAGCAGGGCTGCCCCATTACTGCTCTGCCCAGCCAGACCGGGACTGCCAGGCAGGTGTCCCCCCCCCCAGAAAATGGAGCTTTGACTTTTCTTTGAAAGTGAATTTTGTTTGGGTTTGGTTT